ACCTTTTACCTGACTTCTTAGGCTTTCATACCTAGGTGGGCGTGTGGCATGTGGCATTCAATTTCTGCACGCATTATTTTGAGTGTGTGAAGGGCCAGTACGCCTGGAACGACGTTGGTACGACTGGTGCCCCAAGAGAGGAATCTCAACAGGTGCAGTTCAAATGGAACTGCTGGTGTGACGTTGAAAAAAGTTTGAGGGAGCTGGTTGCGCTCCATCGCTATGCATTGATCATCCCAGCCGTGTTGCACCGACGAGGCATGACGAAATCAGAGCTCAGACTTGCCCAACGGGGTACCAGGCACACTGGGAAGAGGAATCAGGAAATGTTTCAGGGGAGTATACTATGTAATTACTATGTATGTATCTATGATGGTGGAGGCTATACTTCCCACGGACACCATGTGCTAGTGCACCCCGAGAATGAATGTTTGCCAGACAAGCTGCAGATCCACACAAAAGTGTGATTCCAAATCAGTGTTTTCCTCATCCATCAGAAACTCGACGAACCTTCTTTGGCCAAAACGATCTTAAGTGACATAAGTGACGCGCCATTTTTTGGACCGCCATGGCCCGTCGATGCCCGGATGTACATAGCTGATTTGCCATGGGCGCTCTCGGCCATGACATGCCAGGGACCCAAGTCCTTGCGGTCCACGCAAGAAGGACACGAGTACGTATTCTAAGCCTTCCTTTTTAGCCAACCCCTCCAACGATTGAGTCGACTGGTTCCTTCTACACAGCCATTCTGGCAAGTGACATATTTATATAACAAGTCTGGGTTGGCATTTCCAAAGTCATGCCGCATGATCGTGATCGTGGAAAGAGCCTTGGCATTCCAGGTTCCTGGCTGTTCCGCTCCTTTTGGCCTTGCTTTTGCCGAGTGCATGGCCGGAGCTTTGCTGGGCCGGGCGGCGCAGGACTTGAAACGACGGCCGGAACGACGGCTGACGGAACGACGAAGAAGGAACCACCCATTGACTGGGAAAAAGTCCACCCTCACGCGTTGGGACTCCGGTTTTAGTCTCACGGGGCCTTCGTGTGGACTGGGACTCTGTTGGGCACCGGGACTCTGTTCGGGTCACAGGGTCTTCTGAGAAATGTCACTTTCGGCTTTCGGCATTTCATCCACCCTTGGAAACTGAAAATGGACAGCAACAACCTCACTTGCGAAGACAGCATGCAGGATCCAAAACCACCTTGACCAGACGCTGAGATCACCACAACCCGACTAACAGATTGTACGAAGCAGAAAGAGATTCATCTCGGTAGGCCAACCACCCAAGCCGATCGACCTTCAAACTGTTTGACCATGTTTGACCAACTTGCTCAGGTCTTGATCGCCTTGCTGCTCCTGCGCTGGAAGATGTCTAGACCGACCGCGCAGTCCGTCGCCCCTGGTCCGAGCCTTCGACCGAAGAGCCCGGGCGTTTGGTCCGTGGGTCTGCAGGTGGGGAGATGGGGGG